TTCCCTTCCAACTCTGTTATTCTATTCTATTCTATTCTATTCTATTCTATTCTATTCTATTCTATTCTATTCTATTCTATTCTATTCTATTCTATTCTACTCTACTCTACTCTACTCTACTCTACTCTAAAACTCATCAAATTTGCAGATGACACTAAGCTGACAGGAATAACCAACACCCCAGAAGATGGATCTCAACAGACTGGAACTGATCCAAAACCATTCGGATAGGAGACAAAGTATACTTATCTACAAAATACCTTAAACTCCGACTGCCCAGTAGAAATTAGGACCTAAATATATAGGACCATTTCCCATAACACAAGTCATCAATCCCGTAACCGTAGCTCTTAAACTTCCCCTCTGTTCAGTAGGATACATCCCGTATTCCATAGCAGTTTGGTGAAATGGTGACAACAGAAAGGCCAGGTACCTCGACTACTCCACCGGGTCCCGTGCATACCAACCAATATGAGATAGATCGAATATTGGACTCCAGGGTTCGTAGGGGGATGTTACAATATCTTGTGCGGTGGAAAGGATATCCTATAACACAGGCCTCGTGGGTGGCAGCACCCGATGTTCACGCTGCCCGATTGATACAACGGTTCCATCGGAAATACCCAGACAAACCTAATACAGGATCGTAACAGTGACTAACATTTGTATGCTTTCTATTTATCGGTGAGCTCCCGGTAGGGGGGGCCGCCTGTCGAGTCCTACCGGAGCTCGCCATCAATGGAGGGTGTGGGAGGAAAAGGAGTGGAGATAAGCAGCCGCAGCGAACACACAAATAGTTCTGGATAGCAGCATTCAGGGCGATGATTGATGACGTTGCTGGGCCTCTCCGATTCTGCTGTCCTCGCTGCTCTGGTGCTCGCAGCTGTTACTGTTAAGGGAGTGGGGGTGCTTGATTGATAATCACCGGATGTATGTTTTAAGGGGCTGAGTTTTTGTATTCTATTCTATTCTATTCTATTCTATTCTATTCTATTCTATTCTACTCTACTCTACTCTACTCTACTCTACTCTACTCTACTCTACTCTAAAACTCATCAAATTTGCAGATGACACTAAGCTGACAGGAATAACCAACACCCCAGAAGATGGATCTCAACAGACTGGAACACTGGGCCCCACCTAACAAAATGAAATTCAGTGTAGAGAAAAGTAAGGTTTTACACTTAGGAAAGAAAAAACATCTGTACGGGGACAGACTGGGTGAACCTTGGCTCAATACAGGGGTGAAATCTAAAATTTGTTACTACCGGTTCTGTGGGTGTGGCTTGTTGGGGGGGTAATGTGACTGGGTGGGCGTGGCCATTTTTTTTTTTTAACTTTTAAAACCATTTTTTACATGTAAAACCATGTAAAAAATGCTTTCAAAAGGCTCTGACAATCCCAACTGAGTTGCCTGATTGGCAGGCAACTCAGCTGGGATCATCAGAGCTTGGCTCGTCAGAGCCATTTAAAAGAAAAAAAAAGGCTCTGATGATCGCGCAGCTCAGCTGGGCATGGGGGGCGGGAGCAGGGATTTTTGCTACCGGTTCTCCGAACTGCCCACCGCCATCGCTACCTGCTTGCCCGAGCCGGTTCGAACTGGGAGCATTTCACCCCTGGCTCAATACCAAGAATTGTGAGAAGGATCTTGGAGTCCTAGTGGACAATCATTTAAATGCGAGCCAACAGTGTGTGGCAGCAGCCAAAAAAGCCAATGCAATCCTAGGTTTCATAAACAGAGGGATAGGATCACTTGAAATATTAGTATCTCTTTACAATGCCTTAGTTAGTGCACATTTGGAATACTGTGTCCAGTTTTGGTCACCACAATATAAAAAAGATTTTGAGATTTTGGAAAAAGTGCAAAGAAGAGCAACTAAGATGATAAAAGTTCTGGAGACTAAAACATATGAAGAATGGTTGCAGGAATTGGGTATGTCTAGTCTAGCAAAAAGAAGGACTAGGGGAAACATGATAGAAGTTATTCAATATTTGAGGGGCTACCACAAAGATGAAGTGGTCAGCCAATTTTTCAAAGAACCAAAAGGCAAGACAAGAAACAACAGATGGAAACTAATCAAGGAGAGAAGCAACCTAGAACTAAGGGTAAATTGCCTAACCGCGAGAACAATTAACCAGTGGAAGGGTTTGCCTCCAGAAGTTGTGGGGGCTCCATCACTGGAGGCTTTTAAGAAGAGACTGGACAGCCATTTGTCTGAAAAGATATAAGATCTCCTGCTTGAGCAGGGGGTTGGTCTAGAAGACCTCCAAGATCCCTTCCAACTCTGCTATTCTATGTTTTCAACCTGCTGGATCCTGCAGGACAGGCAGAGATAATTAAAGTAGCCACATGCTTTTGCAACAAAAGCTCTACAAGGCGTAGCTACTGTAATGCATAAGACAAAGGTGCTGTGTTTGCCCTCGCATGAGTCTTAGAGGCCTCGTGAATAATTTATGAAGCATGCCTATTGATCGCCATGCAGCCTCAGTGCCAAAAAAAACCAAAAAAACCCCACTTTCTTATGAAGCTGCATCTTCAAGAAGAAACCCAGGTTGGGATTCTCAATGTGGATATTTGTTCCACAGGAGCTCTCCCCCACCCCCTGCAGAATGATGGGCATATCATGTACTGTATGTGCTTCATTTAATAGTAGCAAAGAGCAGAGATTGACTGAGGGTAGATATACTGCAAGGAGCGATAGGCAACTGGTCGGGAGGCTGAACTGTCCCCTGGTTGTGGAGCCCAGTTCAGCCTCCTGACCAACTGCTGGACTGTACATCTCTTCCAATAGCACTTAGACTTATATACCGCTTCACAGTGTTTTACAGCCCGCTCTAAGCGGTATACAGAGTCAGCCTATGGCCCCCAACAATCAGGCTCCTCATTTTACCGACCTCGGAAGGATGGAAAGCTGAGTCAACCTTGAATCGGTGAGAATTGAACTGCCGAACTGCAGGCAGCAGACAGCCGGCAGTCAGCAGAAGTAGCCTGCAGTACTGCATTCTAACCACTGCACCACCACGGCTCTTAATGGGAACGGTGCTGGAAGGGCTAAAAAGCTTCGTTCTTTTTTCACTTCATCCTGATTGTCAGACCTGCCCCAACTTACATCCTTCAGAAAGAAAGACCCTCGACTCCATTCAGTTGAAGTGATTGGTTCTTTTACTAAAGAGAAGTGGTTGCAATGAAAGGAAGGCTGGATCTGAGTGTTCCCATGCAAAAGGTTACAATTTCCCCCTTTCCCTGGCCAACCCCCCTTGACCAGTTCAACAGTGTCCAACAGCCATCCCAATTTTGGGAACTGCTTTGAAGCTGGGTGCTTTTCAAAGTAGTTTCACATTCCATTCCCAGGCCAGGTGTCCTTGGTGGCTAGTTTATTCTAGTTTGACAGACCTGGTTCCTGTTGATTTGTTTCCCTCCCTCCTTTTATTCATCTTCTTCTCCCCAGCCCAAGCTCCCCCAAATTCCTTCCCTCCCCACTTTCAGTTTATGGCAGGATGCCAACAAAGTGAAGCAGCTGAAGATGGCAGACCTGACACTGATTCTTGGCAGATTCCTCCTTTCCAGTTTGCCCAGTGAAAGATAATTAAACTGAACCTCTTCCACATTCTGACCAGGTAGGGAGTCCTTAACTCTCTTCCTCTGTCCCAGCACCAGGGAAATAGGGAGGAAGCCAGGTAGAACTTGATAAATCTCAACAACTAATCCTGAATCACAAAGGTTAGCAATGACAGCCATGAAGACTTAATGAGAAACAAGGTTTGTTAAACTAATAGTTCCAGTTCTCTAGATCAGGGTTCTTGAGCTGTGGATCAGGTCACAAGGGTATGTGCAAGTGTGTGTGTGTGTGTGCTCATGGCAACTAAATATTCAGTCATTAAGAGTAAGTGCAATCGCTATTTATTACACAACCTTCACACCAGTTAAATCATTTGTTTTATTTGTGGGGAGAGGATGTCATATAATTTCATTTATCATTTGGGGGGGTTGTAGTATTCCAAGCTATTACTCAAATTATAGAATACGGAAGAAAAGGGGAACACACACAGACACACCAAGAGAAGATAACGCTCATATAAAATGTACAAAAAATCAATACAGCATCCTACCACATTAATTGCTCTTTACTTCTTTGAAAAAGATCTCCAGTCTTCTGGAGTGGACAGTTATAATAAATTTAATAACTTGTCATCATCCTCATTTTTAATCTTGGATCTCAGTACATGAGTCCATCACAGAGGATGGACAGGTTGGAGAGAGATCACCTGAGGCCCCTGCTTGGATGTCATTAGGCAGGATTCAGGTTGTCTTCTTCTATTAGATTAATATTCACAGGTTGTGCCACTGTGTAAAAAGGGTTGTATGGGAAAACCTGCATTCCATTTGTGGAGACTTCTCAGCATCAGGTCAGCTCAAAGATGCTCCTGGGTAGGACACAGGCCAAGTGTTGAGTATTCCTCTATGTCTATTGAAACCAGAGGTGTGGGGCCAGGGGAAGGCCTCAAGATGTTATTCTCCAAGATGTAATCTATATCTCTTTGCACTTGTTCTTGCTTGTTCACGAGTAACATTCATTCAGATTATGACTGCTGTCAAACCTGCTCAGCTCCCTCCTTGGGGAACGGAATGGGACAACTTGTCACAGCCAACTCACCATGGACAACTCACCGCTGGACAACTCGCCATGGGACTAATAGCTGCAGGACAATTTAACAATTCTATTTAATTATTTAAAATAAATAAAAAAATATTCTAATTGTTGCCATTCACATTTCATTCTGTCCTTTTTTAAAATGATTCTATTCCACCATTTCTTTGATACAAGTGTAACTCTTGTCCTGCAGTGACTTGTCCTGAAGCGAGTTGGCCATGGCGAGTTGGCCGCAGCGAATTGTCTTAGACCCTTTGGGACTGACTGAACAGTGGAGTCCTGGGGCCTTAAGCTTATGTGTATGGACAGACAGAATCCTCATTTACACCTTATTTTGTCTTGTTCCAGGTGATGCTTTCGGAAAGGAAAGGAACGGATGAACTTTATGCCGTAAAGATTCTGAAGAAGGACGTGGTCATCCAAGACGACGATGTGGAATGCACCATGGTGGAGAAGCGAGTGCTGGCCCTGGCCGGAAAGCCCCCCTTCCTCACCCAGCTTCATTCTTGCTTCCAAACCATGGTAAGCTCCCCGACAACCCTTCATCCTAAATCCTGCAAAAGCTCCCCAATTGAGTTGAGAAACTTGTCCCTTGAAGGGTATTCCTTGTGCTGGAAATTTAACCTGGATGATCACAATTGCCTTGTGTAAAGACCAAAGAAGACATTGGCTAAAAACAGAGTCATCTGAGCGAGAATGATATGCCCTCTGGAGATTGGACAGTGAGGGCTGTTCAGCAGCAGGAAGGTCAAGGACAGGCACAGAAGACGCAGCAAACTTAAGGGAAGGACAGAAGGAGGACTGGCAGGAAAGAGAGAAAAGTCCTGATGAACAGAGAAACCCTGGCAGAAAAGGGACATGTTTCCTGGCCAAAAGGAAGGGGATTAACCCTGCATAACTGGACATAGAATAGAATAGAACAACAGAGTTGGAAGGGACCTTGGAGGTCTTCTAGTCCAACCTCCTGCTTGGTGGATAGCTTGAGACAACAGCAGGCAAGGAAGGCCAAATCAGCACACATAACCTTGGTGCACCATAGTAGACCAGTCTCAAATGAGTAAGGCCTCCCAATTCAGAAAAAAGAACAAGTGGGGCACGAGATGGATTTGTGTAAAGGAGCCGAAAGTGTAAGAAGGCCCCGTTACACAACAGTTCTGCGGAAGGGATGGTGACCCATCCGGGACCAAAGGTGGAGAGCACCCACAGAGGACCCTAATGCCCACAGCAACTCCGTCTTGTTAGGTTGAGCTGAAGTCTGCTTTTCCACATCCAGAATTTCCAGACATGGAGATAATCTTAATGGTCTCACTTACTCAGCCTTGGATAAAGATTCTTAAGTGGGTATTATTGGCATGGTGTTATCTGATCCCATGCCAACCGATGCTGCTGCTCAGTGCCTTTACATAGGTGTTAAATCAGAACCCAGAGAGTAGTTTTAGGCTCTACTGTCTACTCTCTCCTCCTTTCTTTAGAGAAAGGAGGAGAAATAATATAAATTAAAACTCCCACTCGTAAAGTTCAAAGATGGTCTAGGAGGATACCATCATCAATGAAAGACAAAGAAAGACTAAAATGGATGCACTACCTCTGCTCCAGTCTCAGCAGAGGTCTTCTAAAAGTGTGAGCACTGCCATTTCAGTGGTCTGAAGAGAGGTCCAAATAGTCCATTTTGTCCGACGTCCCCTGTAGCTGTAAGCCAAGGGTCTCCAATCTTGGCAACTTTAAGACTTGTGGACTTCAACTCCCAGAATTCCTCAGCCAGCAAAGCTGAAGTTGAAGTCCACAAGTCTTAAAGTTGCCAAGATTGGAGACCCCTGCTGTAAGCCAACCATCTTTTCTTCAACCTTCCCCAGGGAACCCAACTAGAATTGCAAAGAAAGAGAAACACCCAGATGCAACTTGAGCCAAAGCCAGGGGCATTTCCTCCTGGGAGGAGAAGGATCTCGGGCAAGCCAGAGCTCCAGAGATGGCCCTAAGATCCTTTCCAACTCTAGAGTTAATGGAATGATCTGACCATATCAAGAGATTGATATTACCCAATTCCAGATCACATCCTCGCTGTCCCAGGATCCAAAGAGTCTAATGAGGGGCCCCTATTGTGAGTTGGCCCCATAACCTTCTAGGCTAGAACATGGTGGCCATGAACTCTGGAGCTAACTTGGAATCCGTTTCCAGAGAAATCAATTAAAGTTGTCCATTCCCTTTGTTTGGGGAATTTCAGCACTAGCCCAATAGCCAGAAGGAGCTTATGCAAGGAGGCCAGGAGGGCCGCAGTTCCACCTGATCCCAATAGTCTAATTTCACTGGCTGAGCCAGGGGGGAGGGGGCTTGGAGGCAGGAACTTGCTACATCTTGGAGTGACCTGCAGATATGAATTCTATTCTGCACCTCAATTAGCATCAATTACTTTCAATCTTCTTTCTAATTCTCTATATCTTTGTTTCTCAACCCCAGCAACTGTAAGACGTGTGGACTTCCAGAGATCGCTGGGGAATTCTGGAAATTGAAGTCCACACGTCTTACAGTTGCTGAGGTTGAGAAAGGCTGCTCTATGTATGCCCAACATGAGTGCAAGAAAGTGACTCCTCTGCCAACCTGCCTCACAATGCCTTTTTCAAACGACATCAACAGATAAAACCACCACGATAAAGTGGAGCAATAGAAATCAGAAAACTTTCCTGCAGCAGGTGGGCCATGTTTCTGTAAAACGATTGGCATCCTTTGGAGGGGTTGGGGTGCAGTGACCCCGGGGGAAGCAGAGAGACTGGATAGCGGAGACAGGGTGGAAGCCTTCCCAATTTGGGTGGGAGGACTGATTAAGAATGAAGAGCGCCGAATGCCTTTGGGGGATCCTTTTTGCCCCCAAAGTGGCCAACTCTGCTACTGCAATGCAGCGATTTAACATGCTGGATGTTGGCAGCAGGAATTGGGGGAGGGGGGGCAAAGGGCACAAAGGAGGAGCTTTCCCACCTCTGGCTCAGGGCAGCCAGCCATTCTCCACGCAGCAAAGGACGCCAGGCGCAGCTCCCGCAAAGCACTTTCTCTCCGGCTGTTTCCAGCTGGCGGCTGGATAAAGGCAGAGGGGCCGCGCTGCGAGCAGCCCTTCCTCAGCAGCAGCTCTTGGACGGCAACAATGGAGGCTTAGAGGATTACCCTGAGACGTCAGCCCAGCAGTTGGAGTTGGCAAAGCCCGCTGGCAGCCGCCAGAACTCTCCCATCTTGGTGATGAAAGGCCGGCATGCTGAGATCCGTCTTGCCTAGCCTCTTTCTGACATCTGAAGTGTGTTGGCAGAGGATTAGAGGGCGCAAACCTGCCCGGGGCTTAGCACTAATCGGACTGGGGACATAATCGCAGGTTGTAGCAAAGGGTATTAGCAGCAACCAGGCCGGAGGCAGAAGTGGACGAGAAGGAGCAGTTGTCATTCCATGCACGGGAACTTTCTCTCTCCATCTCAGCAATGGGTGTATTTTGGGGGGGGGGGTTAACCAATTGCTCAATATTTCAGGAGCCTGAGAGGCTCCCAGCTGATCCACAGATGTCAGATGTGTGTGAGATGCCCCCGGCAGAGTTTTCGGATGAAGCTCCAGTAGCTCTCCTAAACGGAAGGCATCAGGGGTGGGGTGGGGGAATCAAGGTGGTACCCAGGGCCGGATTTTCCTATAGGCTAACTAGGCTTCAGCCTAGGGCCTCAAGATCAAGAGGGGCCTACATTCAAATTGTTAGCAAAATTAAAATTACACTTTCACTATAGGTGAAAGGGCCTTGTAAGTGGAATAGCCTAGGGCCTCTTTTCATCTAAATCCGGCCCTGGTGGTACCTGCAGCCACATGGCACTCGCTCCATTTGTACATACATGTGATGTGCAATTGGTGTAAAAAGGGAGGGCAGAATAACAAAATAACAGAGTTGGAAGGGACCTTGGAGTCTAAGCCCCTGCTCTAGCAGGAGACTCTAGACCAGGAATGTTCAGCTGTGGAACTTTAAGACTTGTGGAGCCACATGGCTGGCTGGGGAATTCTGGGAGTTGAAGTCCGCAAGTGTTGTGACCCAGGCCCAAGTAGGTAATAATTGACGCAAACAGTTCCAAAACAAACAGACTTTATTAGAACAGCTGAGAATTAACTCATTCTCCGCGTAGTCCAAACTAAATTAAAACAAACTCTTCATAACACAAATTCTTCAGTCTAATCACCAACCTTGGTATAATTAGGCAAACTGTCAAAGGCTTCTCTTGGCAAAAGTTCAAAAGCAGAAGATGCCGACAAGACTATGCAGCAAGACTATCAATGTTTTCCGGCAAAGAGGCCAAGAGCCATTGCTGGTCTTTTAAGCCTTATGGGAGGGGCCAATCATCTCTTGGCCCTACTCCTGAGTTGTCCTCTGTGCTTTATCTGCTCCTGCCTTCTGGCAGCTCTTCTCATGCGTGCACTAGGAACAGGCTCCTCCTGTTCCTCTGCCTCTCTACTGTCAGCCTCTGGAGGCTCCGGAGTCTGCACATCACTCCCCGATGGCCCTGGCCCCATCTCTGCCTCCGACGCAGAGCCCTCATCCGGGCCTTCCCCAGCCTCCAGGACTGGCCCATGTTCTTCCTCAGCCTCATCGCTGTCTGACTCTGCTGCCAGCTCTGCAGGCTGCTGCCAAACCACAAAAACAAGTCTTAAAAGTTCCCAAGGTTGGATACCCTTATTCTATATCATTTCGGACAAATGGTTGTCCAATCTTTCCTTGAAAACTTCCAGTGATGGTGCTCCCACATCTTCTGAAGGCAAGCTGTTCCGCTGGTTAATTGTTCTAGCTGTCAGGGCAGGACAGGTCTTCGGTGGCACGATTGTGACTGCCATCTGGACTTTTCTGTCCCCACTCCACCCCCAGGAGTAGATGCCCCTGCCTCAACCAGGCCCAAAGGCGCTGCTCCTCTTGCTTTGGAAGCAAAGTCCTACAGGACACAACTTTGGCCTGATCTCCTCCACGGTGGTTGTGAACAAAGGAGCTCAAGGGAGCCAATTAAAAGACAATTCAAAGCCCAAATCCACCCTTCCCACTTTGCCTTGTCTCTCCTCTAATCTAGAAATGTCCCCTTTAAGTCCTCATCCTTCCCCTCTCCTCTCGCACCAGCTGTGCTTTCCTGCAATACATCTAATCCCACAAAAGGAAGTCAAAGGGAGTTTTTTTTTTACTTTTTAATACCAAAAAGGCAACCAAATCCTTCCTTTCATCGGGCTTTAAATTGTTTATTGCAGTGGCTGCAACAGACTGACGGTGTCCTGGTGAGGACCTGTCCTCCTCCTGACTTTTTCAGCTCAGCTGCACAGAATGGCATCCCGCAGGACACGGGAACTCCTTCCTGCTGGATGCAAAGTCAGGACACAGGAGAGGCTGAAGGAGGAGGTCACCAGAGGCCAGGCGACGGCCACGATGGTGCCATCAAAGCTGTGCTTGTTTTTGACATGCGTGGCACATGCTTCAATTGCACAGCTACAGCCACTGCCTTGACTTTGCAGTACAGGCCCCAAAGATGCCCCGTGGCAGAGTCTTTCCAACTGAGAAGAAAACGTTGCTTGCAGGGCACCCAAGAGGCCCAGCGTGGTGCTTCTTTTGACTTTGGTTAAGCATCCTCCACCGTTTTTCTCCCCTTTTCTCTCAGGATCGCTTGTATTTTGTGATGGAGTATGTGAACGGTGGTGACCTCATGTACCAGATCCAACAGGTCGGGCGATTCAAGGAGCCCCACGCTGTGTAAGTCACCACTGCCATTCCAGGGCAGTGCCAGGGCAGATGGGTGTGTGCTTGTGAGGATTTCTGTCATCCATGGCATAGGAGCTGGGTACTTATGAGACCGCCTTCTGCCTCCGATAGCCTCCCACCGACCAGTACCCTCCCACAGAGAGGATCTCCTCAGGGTGCCGTCGGTTAGACAGTGTCGACTGGCGACCCCCAGGGGGAGAGCCTTCTCTGTGGGGGCACCTGCCCTCTGGAACGAGCTGCCCCCGGAGATTTGTCGGATTTCTGACCTCCGTATCTTTCGCCGCACCCTTAAAACGCTATTATTCCATCAAGCACGGCTGGCCTAAAATTTTATTGGAATGGGTTATTTTATTTTAAATGATTGGCCAAACTATTTAATAATTTTAAATTGTTTTTAACTTTTATATTGTTGGTTTTTATTTTGGCTGTACACCGCCCTGAGTCCTTCGGGAGAAGGGCAGTATAAAACATAAATAAATAAATAAATAAATAAATAAATAAATAAATAAATAAATAAATAAATAAATAAATAAATAAATAAATAAATAACTCCCTCTCCCTCTGAGGACCAATGATGCCAAGGGCCTCCTGTGCCAGGGGCCGAGGTGGCACCTCCTGGCCTCTCCATGACTCTCCCTTCTTGACTGGCAGGTTCTATGCAGCCGAGATCGCCGTGGGCCTTTTCTTCCTGCACTGCAAAGGGATCATTTATCGGTAGGTGGGCTGCTTTCCTCTCTATGACTTCCCAACCTTGTAGTTCCCAGGCTCTGCTGTGGCCCACGTCCACTGCCAGCCAAAGCCTTCCTCCTCTTGGAAGCCCCACTGGGATTGTCTTGATCAGAGGAAGGGCTTGGAGGCACCCCTTCCTTGGCATCTCACACTTCGGCAGTCTTGATGAGACACAAGCGGACTGATGAGTCACAGAGGGGGGATGGGCAGGCCAGGGACTCCTGGGGTTCATCTGCTCTGCTCCCTCTAGCCTGGCATCTGAGAAGCATCTGGAGGTCCCCCAATGGGAATTCTGGGAAAGCAGCAGAAATGCAGAGTAGGACCATCAGACACCATCAGATACCAGCAAAAACCCCAAGGCCGGCAGCCCAGCCAAGGCCCCAGAGAGCTGTAAGGGGGCCGCAGGGGGCCTGGCCAGTGGTGAAATCCAGCTGGTTCTATCTGGCTTGGGTGAACCGGTAGAGCCAGCGACAGGAGGCTCTGCCCACCCGGCTGGACATCATCATGTCCCGTTTTTGACCCTCTGCACATGTGCAGAAGGCTCTGCGCATGCCTGGAGGAGGCGCCCGCTCACATTTCTGAACTGGTAGAGAAGGTGAGTAAATTTCATTGCTGGGCCTGGCCTCAGAAGCAGCCCCGGTGTCTCCTGGAGAAGCAACTATCTCATCTCCGGAGCGAAAAGGGGGCTGCCTTTGTTCCCTGCTCCTCCCCTCCCCCGCTCATTCAGCACTCTGCATCTCCTCCTCTGCTGCCTGCCTTCCCCCGCCCCTGCAGCTTTTACGGGCAGCAGGTTGGGAATGGCACGGCGGCAGCTGTAGGGCGAGAGATGGCGGCTGTGTGCCTCCAGGTGTCATTGAACCAGGGCTGTCTGTGCCCGCCTTGATGATGTTCCACAGACCCTCTCTTGCACAGAGTGGCACTCGTCTCGCAGATCCCTTGGAAGCATGCACAGCCAAGCAGGCATTCAAGCCTCCCCTTCGGAGACAAGCAATGCCTGCCTCCCCACCCACCCCCGTCCCCAGATTTCAGTTCTAGGGCTCCAGGGAAGAAGGACGGGCTGGAACAGCGTAAAGAAGGTTTTCCTCCTGGAAAGAGGGAGAGCCAGACTCCGCGGCATTTGCGTTTGGCACCGGCTGCTCTGACCTTCCACATGCTTGCAGAGGCTTCTGCTTTTCCAGCGGAAGAGAGCTGCTTGCTGCTGCTGATGGAGAATTCAGCAACGTGATTTTATTTCCATTTCCAGACCTCTCCTAAACCTTGATGGGGCCTGTCCAAAGAGGCTTTTGAAGCTCGCTAGATGAGACTTGTATTGAGGGCAGGGAAGACTCTGCTGCCCTCCAGGTCCAAAAGAACGGGGCTGGGGCTGGGGCTGGGGTTGGTGTGGGGGCATTTCCGTACTTCAGCAGAAGACAAAAAAATTACAGAAATACATCTGTGAATGCCTATTATTCCCTGTTTATTCACCTTTTCCACCATTTGCCTGCCATTCGCACCCTCAGCCATCATCCAACAATGTAGGTAGTCCTTGACTTACGACCACAATCAGAACTTCCGTTGCTAAGCGTGGTGATTGTTAAGTGACCCATGCCTAATTTTACCACAATTTTTTGCCACAGTTGTTAAGTGAATCAGGTGGTTGTTAAGCAAATTTGGCTCCCCTCGTCGACTTTTCTCATCAGAAGCCAGCCAGGGATCTTGACCACGTGGCCACCAAATACCGTGACCGACGTAGATATGTGATGGTGGCAAAAAGGCAAAGGGAGTTATCGCAAAAAGGTCATAAAAACTGGCCACAACTCTCTTAACAATTACTTCACTTAACAATGGAAATTCGGGTCCCAGTTGTCATAAGTCAAGGACGACCTATATTCAGCTTCCAACTAAATATCATTCAATGGAAAACATTTCTGAAGCTTCACATTTCTCTTTTCCTTCTCTTTTCCTCTCTTTTCCTTTCTTTTTCTCTCCCTCTCTTTTCTCTCTTTCTATTCTCTCTTTCTCTTTCTCTCTCCTTCTTTTCCCTCTTTCTCATTTTCTCTCTCTGTCTCTCACTCACTTTTTCTCTCTCTTTCTTCTCCCTCCCTCCCTCCCTCTTTCTCTCTGTCACTACAGAGACCTGAAACTTGACAATGTGATGCTGGACTCCGAGGGCCATATCAAAATTGCTGATTTTGGCATGTGCAAAGAGAGTATCTGGGATGGAGTCACCACCAAGACTTTCTGTGGCACACCCGACTACATTGCTCCTGAGGTGAGCCAAAGGCATCTCCTGTCTCTACCTTAAACTTTTGTTGCTACTTCTCAGCAAAGGCTCCAACCGATGAGAGGTCATCCCAAGTCCCAAATCTGCATTACGTGAGATGGAGGTTAGTTTGAGTAAAAAAAATTTCAAGATTTCACACTTGCAACCAAAAGTCTAGGAGTCTTCCCACAGGGCAAGAACTGGCTTAAGTGCCGTTGTCTGTGTCAGCTGTGTGGGTAAGTGGGAGGGAAGGAAGTGGGGGAGGGAAGAGAGCGAACAGTTTTGCCAACCAGTTGCCAGGCGGAGAAGCCGATAGAAGCCAATGAGAATTGGTGAATTCAGTTCAGGCCTTTGAAGAGTCTCTTGGTGAAGCCAAGAGGATACAAAGGCAGTTTCTGTGGTGTGGCATGTGGCTGTGCCTCAGACTGAGGTGTCATTGCTGCTTATTTACTCAGCAATAATGAAGGTGGCTATGCAATCCCTAAATCCTTGGCCTTTCAGTCTCTCTACTTCTGTATGCACGCATGCACGGACTGCATGCATGGGCCATGCCGTGATTAATTGGGATTAATTTTTTAGCCAAAGTGAGGATGCTTAAGTGAGTAAATATTGGTTGGAACCTTAATTAAAACTCCATTGTCGCTGGCGCTTGTCCTCCAAGGAAGAGAAATGGGCTATAAGGAAAATCAGTTTGGTGATCTTTATGAAAGCTGTATGAGCATCTGAGTCAAGGAAAATAGTTCTGCTCCTTCTCTGAGCAACACTGGGCCATTTTGCGCATCCTTCCATGCTTCCCAGGGAGATATTTAATTACTATCCCTAATGCCTGTTATTTTCCCTTGTTCTGCCAAGATTAATACGGGAGCCCTGCCAGGGTGATTAATGCTCTTTTGGAACGGAAGAACCGGCCATGTGCTTTGCTGGGCAACACGGCTGCATCTCCAAAATGCTCATTTTCTTACATTTTGCTTTTAATTAATTGTTTTCTTTCAAGTGTACGAAAGAGGAAGACCTGAAACTGCACCCCACAATTTTAGCAAAATAAAGGTAGGACGTGGATACATCACTTGGAGAAGATGGAAAAGGCGAAAAATAAATTCCTCCTCGTTTCAGGTGTAACTGCAGGCAGAGACACCTGTGTGGCTGTCTAACCTCCAACTTCTTTTCTGGCAAATCTCAGGTTTAAGGAAGTGGCCACAGAGCCTTCCCCCACTTCATGCCTCCCGCTGCATCAGGGCTACAATCCCAGGAGGTCTGGAGCTGCCATCTAAAAGGCACCCACGATGGGTCCCATTCTTCTTCTTCTTCTTGTGCCACGTCCGTCATCGGACGTTGGCGATCATGTTGGCCATCCTGTTTTTGTCAACAGCCACACGAAAAAGTGCTGCTGAGTTTTGTCCAAACCGGTCCCTTAGATTTTGAAGCCATGATGTTCTTCTTCTGCCTGGACCTCGTTTGCCTTCAGTCTTTCCCTGGAGGGTTAAGTGAAGGATGCCATATTTTTCTGGGTGTCGCATCACATACCCAAAATATTCTAACTTTTGCTTTTTGATGGTTTTGATGGGCCACGTGCTGCAACACAATACTGCCAATCATGCCAGGGTGGAGAGGGCAAGAAACGGGCACTTAAATAACCCCCAGAAATGCTGACAACTGTTTGCAATCCCTTTTCCTTCCTCATGCAAATAATGCTGGCAGTTGGGGAATGCCCAGGATTTCATGGGAGGGAGAAACTTTTTCCTTATTTTCTCCAAAATAATTTTTTTCCAGGCACACGCTTTCATATTGCTGCATTGGGAAATAAAGAGGTAAAGGTGAGAGCCCAGCCTGCAGGCATTTGCACTCCTGGTGAAGAAGAAGGGCTTTTGAGATGAATGGATTTCCTTGCATATTTCCCAAACAGAAGCTTTCCTGCGTTTGAGGTGCTGTCTTAAGGGTGGCATTTCTCCAGAGAGCCAAAATGAAGGCTGGAAGGCCGGCCTCAAAGCCTCTGATCTGGGCTGTTTTTCACCCGGGTTCTTGCGTGGGCTTCTGTGCACGTGCAGGGTTTTCAGGGCACTGTCAGCCCTGCCAGGTAGGCCAGTCAAGAATAGTATTGCCGAGATCCAAGGAATGACACTTTATTGTGGTTATTGTGACAGAATCTTGAAAGACGTTCAGAGGTTCCTTCTGCCTCATCTAAGACCAAACAAAATCCAGATGGGGTGATTTTGAGTTTCTTCCTCAAGCTTTCCAAGCTTGAGACTGAGGAACTTGCATCTTCATGGCTTGTCAGTTCCTCCACATCTCCAAGGTCAGGCTGCCTCCCTTTACATGCACTTTCCAGCTGGGCAAATGCAGAGCTCTTGCTCCAGCTGGACCACAAGGCCAGGGAGCTCTGCAGAAGACCAGCCTACATGCTTGGCCTCCCCGCTCTTCTTCCTGGCTGGATGTCCACATGTGTCAGAGGGAACCCCAAAGAGAAGCCAGCTGGATTACTCAAAAAGCTACAGAAAACTCTTCCAATGAAAGCAGAGCAGATGTAGCAAGTTGCATGAATGCAGCCAACTCAGCTGGCTTAGGGTGTTGTGTGAGGACAGTAAGTGAGGGAGAAATCAGAGAAAGGTCCTCTGCTTTTGCCCACTTATCTCCCTTCTGATCTGCCTCCTGGTGCTTCCTCTTTCCGGAGAAAAGCACCAGAGAGCTCAAAAGTTGGATTATGACAGGGGAAAGGAAAAAAGGGGCAGGGGAGAGGACTGCTGGACTTAGGTGGCACCCTTTATTTTGAAATACTTGCCTGGATTTAGCTGCTTTGCATACATCATTTGACTGCCTTCTTGACATAATTCTGCTCTTTAGAGTGTTTTATGAGACAATGCAAAATGGTTTAGAAAAGCTGCAAAGCAGATAAGAAGGATGATGAGGAAGGCTTCAAGTGACTGGCCTTGGCCTTCTCTGGAGCCTGCTCCCCCTCAAAGCCTGGAGAATCGCCATTTGTGGGAAGGACCAGCTTGTTCCAGGCTGCCTGGGAATCACTTGGTCTCGTTTGAGAGCAACTGGAGATGTTAGGAAGACTTCTGAAGCTCCTCTCCTGGTAATAAACTGGATCGAGTCTGTGTATATTTCACTTCAGTTAAAATGTAATTTGCATTCATGTTTGAATACAGTAGAATTCGACACTGACCGTCAGAAGAGGGTTCTGGTTGCTACTCGGGACACCGCAAGGAAAGGAGGGGCAGGGGGGCCGCTTTCATAGGAAGGAGAGAGCAAAGGAAGGGTATCCATTAGACTTTGTGGACAACCCGTCAACATATCGATCATCCACGTTTATGCTCCAACCACTCAGGCGGAAGAGGAGGAGGTTGATGATTTTGACGGTCAAGTTCAAGCTGAAATAAGATGCAAGCGAGATAATGGAATACCAGAGTTGGAAGGGACCCTGGAGGTCATCTAGTCCAACCCCTGCTCAAGCAAGATATCCTATACCATTGCAGACAAATATTGGAACACTTCTATCACGTCACCCCTGGTCCTTCTTTTCACTGGACCAGACAAACCCAATTCTCTAGCCCAGATGTGCTGCTTTTGCCTGCAGACCAAAATGACAACGGTGGAAAGAGGACAATGTAGCTGGACTGTGTGGCCCAAGAAACAGGCAGGAAGCGGAGAAAGGACCCAACAGTTTCTGCCAAGCCAAGAATTTCTGCATTGCTAACAACCCAAAGGCTGCCTTCAGACCCGGAGATCGCCAGGCTGAGCACCCAGAAATGGCATCGAAAAGCTCAGTTGTAACAGCAAAGAGATGGGGGGGGGCCTCGCTGGGGAAGAGTTGCTCGTGTGCAGGTTCCAAGTCAGCCAAAGCAGAAGAACAAAGGCTCCCTCCCCCATTCCCACAATAGGATCTTGAACCCTCCATTTTCAGATCAACAAGAATCGCTTTCAAGTCCTGAACCACATAGATAACAGGGCATCCCCTGTTCCCTAACTCTGTCTTTAACCCAGATTTCTATTTAAGCCGGGACTCCTTCTTATGTAGGGACTGTGTGAAGGTTCCGCCTAATGTACCCAACCAATTCAGCACTCTAAGACGAACAGCTTCCTCAATGAACTGTTTTATTGAATAGATCATTTCGGCACTCATGAAAACAAAACCAGCTCTAACTATTTCCCTCGGTTTCAGTATAATTAAAGAATAGATCATTCCCTCCCCCGTTGTCACAGGTCACATTGTCCAATTGAGTGTTCTGGCATCTCCCTGGCAATTCCTTCTAGTCTCTGGCCAGCACCTGTTGAGATGACCTTGGTTCCCACAGGATGATCTGTTGTTATTGTCTGGTCTGACATTCCAACCTCTCCCCCCTCCCAACTGAGAAACAAAGATGGTTGCGGCAGGCCTGATCCGTTTCGAAGCTGACAGACTGCCTGTTACTAAAAGAAAAAAAAAATGGATGGCCTTGTCCTTCCTCAAGATGACAAACTGCTGAAAACAGGCTGTATTTTTTAAAAGTGTGGCTTCCCTGGTTCCTGAAAACCTTGTGTGGCTTCAGTGCTTCGTCGGCTCAAGAGAAAGCTGTCTGCCATTTTTAGTCACTTGCAGAGTATTCATATCTTGGGCTTCTCCTTCGGCTGGATGTTCTTTTTTTATTATTATTTATATATATCATTTTGAAAAAGAAATTGGACATGGTGTGACCATCCTGGCATTATCTCCGCCATACACACTAAAGCAGGGGTCTCCAACTTTGGCAGCTTTAAGCCTGGAAGACTTCAACTCCCAGAATTCCCCAGCCAGGGGGAGACCCCTGCACTAAAGTATAACACAAATATCTTATATATTCAGCATACCTTGTTAACTATATACACATATTTGATCCCCTATATACTGTTATATTTACATATATTACATCATCGTCTCCTTCAGCTGGACTTTCTTAACCTGGGATGGCCTACAGAGAACCAGACAAACTGCGGATGCAATCAAAGAGGTTGTTAAGGATGAAACGGTGAAACTGTCAAAGACCAAGAAACGGAAGAAAGCAAACTGGATGGCAGAAGAGGAGGAAAATTGCCTGGAAGAGAAGCCAAAGCCCAGAATGAGAAATATTCTCAGAAAGGAACATAATAGAACATATATTAAGCAGAGTATGTATTGAGGGACCTGATTTGGAAGAAGATGAGCATGGTTTTAAAACTGGACAAAGAACCATCACTAATCTGTGCTACTTGATGCTACTCTGATGTTCTGCCGCAGCTACGGATCCCAAAGAACAAGCACACACAAACTCTAAACAAAACTTAGTTTACTCAAATAATAAATGCCGGCTGTTAATAAGCGTTCTTAACAGCCTGCCAGAATTCCACAGATAAGATAGTCAAGAGTCTTACTGGAGTTGGCAGAAAGCCCAGAAGCAAGGTTGCAGAGAAATCCCAACGCGATGATTAGCGAACTAAAGTTGTTTCTTGCAGCTTGTTGCAAGCTGCATTCTTTCTTAAATAGGCTTAAGGAGTGGCCAAGTAGCCCCAAGCCTTACTCTCAAGGAGCCCTCCTCCTGAGGAACCACTCCTGCCTTTTGGCAGCTCTGTGTGCCCGTGCATTGAGAAGAGGCTCCTCCTCTTCCTCCTCTTCACTTAAAGGAGCCTCTGGAGGTTCTGAAGGCCCTGGCTGAATCCCTGCCTCTGGCACCACATCTTCTTCAGCCTCCTCGCTGTCCGACTCGAGCGCCGGCTGCACAGGCTGCTGGCGCAGCACCACACCAGCCTCCTCGTCGTCGGGATCAGCAACAATCTGCGCAGGCTGCTGGCAGGCCACAACATCTGAAAAGCTGAAGATGCAAAGGACCCACAAACCCACAAATAATGAAAACCAAGGAGCAAAGTGAAAAAAAGGGACTTAGAGGATTAAACAAATAAAGTAGGAAGAGCAGCCAGTCTTAGGATCAACAATTTATCAAGGAGAGATGCAACCTAGAATTAAGGAGAAATTTCCTGTCAGTGAGAACAATTAATCGAAGAAAGGCTTGGGCTCAGAAGTGGTGCGTGCTCCATCACTGGAGGTTTTTAAGACGAGATTGGACAGGTGCTTGTCTAGAATGGCGAAGGGTCTCCTGCTTTGCACTAAAAGACCTCCAAGCTCCCTTCCAACTGTTATTTTGTTATATTCAGAAGTGATGATCTGTATCTATAAAGAACAGAATTGTTCAGGCAATAGATTTCTGTCACTATGAAATATAAAGTTGGGCTTTGAAGCAAGACAGAAAAAGCGTTGATGCTTTTAACATGTTGATATTGAAGAAGAGCCTTGAGAATTCCTGTTTCTCAGGACTGAATAATCTTTTCTACCCTTCCCAAGGCCAGGTCTACATTCCAAAATCTACTAGCCCTAAAGGAGGGACAATAATGATTTCATTCTTGTAGAAGCCCTCCCTGGATCCACTGAATGTTGCCAATTACTACCCAGTCACAATTAGTTTGGGGAGGGGGCAAGATGGTTGAGAATGGGCTATCCTTGCAGCTCTAGACACTTTGGGAAGACATCAGTTATTCTGACTGATTATTATTCAGTTATTCAGGCAGGGTTTGGGGACAAAATCTGCCATGGTTGCCCTGATAGACGAACTTCTGCAGAAAAGCGATGGCATGTTTTTTCTATTAATTCTGCTTGATTTTTTGGGCTTTTAACCCCCACAGCCATGGTGTCATGCTGGATAATCTTTAAGAGTTTTGGATTGGGGGCAATAATGCTGTGAATGCCACAGAACGCTCTTCAGCCTGCAGTGTGGTTTAACGTCTGCAGAGAGAGTTTTTGTGACTATCGCAGGCTGAAAAGATGACCATTGTATTTCTGTAGATTATCTCAACCAAGAGAAGCTATTGGTGCATGTTCTGAATTAGCATCAAGATGTAGAAAACTGAAAGTGGATCATGACAAGATGGCTGGGAGATTCCTGAGTGTAGGAATTAGGAAGTTTGCCTATCTATACCAGTGATGGCGAACCTTTTCGGCACCGAGTGCCCGAACCAGAACGCGTGCCAGAGTGCCGGAAACCCAAAAACCAGCTGGCCGGAGTGCATGCACATGCCAGAAACCAGAAGAGCAGCTGGCAACGGTGTCCGTGCCCACAGAGAGGGCTCTGCATGCCACCTCTGGCACTCGTGCCATCACGGGCCTATACTCCGTGAACTGTACTTTCCTAGAAAGAATAGAGAATAGATTGGTGGTGGTCCCAAAGTCATTGGAGGACCAAGTGACCATCTACCAGGAACATTTCAGAATCCTAATAGAGCAGGAAGGGACCTTGGAGGTCTTCTAGTCCAACCTCCTGCTCAAGCAGAAGACCCTATACAATTTCAGACAAGTGGCTGGGCAGTTTCTTCTTAAAAAGCTCCACTGATGGACCCTCCATAACTTCTGGTGGCAAGCTGTTCCACTGGTTAATAGTTCTCACTGTTAGGAAGTTTCTCCTTAGCTATAGATTGGTTCTCTCCTTGATTAGTTTCCATCCTTTGCTTCTTTTCCTGCCTTCTGGTGCTTTGGAGAACAGATTGACCTCTTCTTTATGGCAGCTTCTCAAATACTGGAACACTGCTATCACGTCCCCTCTGGTCCTTCTTTTCTCTAGACTAGCCATGCCCAGTTCCTGCAACAGTTAATTATCTTAGTTGCTCTTCTCTGCACTTTTTCCAAAGTCTCAACCTCTTTTTTGTAATATGATGACCAAAACTGGATGCAGGATTCCAGGTGTGGTCTTACTAAGATTCTATAAAGTGGTACTAATCCTAATTTCTTAGCATTAATTTATTTCTTACTAGCTGTATCTACTATAAGTCACTTTTTTCAGTGCCATTGTAACTTCAAACGGTCACCAAATGAAGTATTGTTAAGTCGAGGACTATCTCTAGTGGTATACTGGAGTATTACATGCACATTTAACCTCATACTTACCATAAATCAGTGTACAGCAGTGGTGGGTTGCTACCGGTTTGCCCCGGATCAGGGAAACTGGTAGCGGCAGTGGTGGGAGGCTCTGTCCACCAAGGCGGACGCTTCTGCGCATGCGCAGAAGTGTTGTGCGTGCACGCGAGTAAGCACACACCCACGAGCAAACCAGTAGCAGTGGGTTTTGAAACCCACTATTGGTGTACAGGTGTGTGAAATTCAATCATTCAAGAAAAGGCTTCATGCATCATAGAGAGAAACTATAAGCTCTTACGATTTGTACTTGTGGCTGCTCTGTTTTGGCCCAGTTAAGTTTCAGTAAAGCCTTGTGGAGTTGTAGGATAGGTTGGTTTCCTCATTGCAGTCCATCCTTTTTCAAGGACACCTTTCCTCCCGAGTGGGAACGCTTGTCTCCTCTTACACGGGCAGTGGAGGCTGGCCTAATGTTGTTTTCATCCTTTTAAAAGATGTGGTGTTTTAAGGCAGTGTTTCTCAACCATGGGCACTTTAAGACACACGGACTTCAACTCCCAGAATTCCCCATCCAGCCATGCTGGCTGGGGAATTCTGGGAATTGGAGTCCACGCATCTTAAAATGCCCCCGGTTGAGAAATACTGCTCTGAGGAAGTTAGGTATAGATTTGGTTGAATTTATATAATTATATCCTGTTGTTCTTGTGGAATTCTTTTATTTGTGGATGTGTCATTCTATTTCCATGGAAACTCCCTTCTGTGGGTATTTGCTGTGAAAGTCAGATAATAAATATTCTACAAATATGTAGCATAAGGACTGCAAACAGCGAGATAAGGGAGCAGGTGCTGGGGGGGTCATGCTTGGTGGAAAGACGATTTGCCATTTCAGACACCCGCGTCTCCTTCTTTGTGGAGGATCGGTTCCCATGGCGCAAGACTCCTAAGCAACCAGCCTTCCTTTGCCTTTCTTGTAACTGGGAGCTGCAGCTCATGAAAAACGTTGGCCTTTTAATCAAATGTGCTAGTCGGAAAAAGTGCTGCCAGGCTCCTTAAGATATTTGGCCACCATGGATGGGCACAATTCCCCTCCTATCCACATTTCCTATCAAAGTGCTGCTACCACATGGCTGTGGAACTAAGAGGACTATGGACTTAGTCCTATAATGCAGTGGTCCCCAACCTTTTTGGCTGCATGGACCGGCAGCGGTGTGTGGTGGCATGCAGTGGGGGGTGGGTGGGGGTCGGACAGGTTTGCATTCTCAACCTAATCACATGCATGTGCAAATGAAGCTTCAGATACTCACCCACCACTTGTGGCCCTGTTCCCAACGGGCCGTGGATCAGAGGATGGGGACCTTTGCTATAATGGTGGTTTCTGTTGTCTTTCAGATAATTGCCTATCAACCCTATGGGAAATCGGTGGACTGGTGGGCCTTCGGCGTCTTGCTCTATGAGATGTTGGCGGGGCAGGTAATCCAGCCTTGTGCTGTAGAGGGGGGGGGGTTGCCTTTGGGGTGGAGCATCCCCAGAGCTCCCTAGAGAAAAGAGTGGGTGCCTCTGAAACCCCTTCCTCTTCTGCTCCCCAATTACACAGGCACCTTTTGAAGGAGAAGATGAAGACGAGCTCTTCCAGTCGATCATGGAGCACAACGTGGCCTATCCCAAATCCATGAGCAAAGAAGCAGTGGCCATCTGCAAGGGGGTGAGTGACGCCTTCAGCTCCCCTGGGGTTGGGGAGGAGGGAGCACGTTTCTCCCCACACTCACAGCATGAGGGGCTGAGTTGTGGATAGGCAGCAGTAGCTACGATGGGGTGCCGTGACACAGGAGGGACATGGCACTGAATTTCCCACCTTCTCTGAGTGGGACAAGTTGGCCCTACTGGCTCCCTTGCCTCACTCCCAGACCGGAAGAGTCCGGCTGCTGCAACAGGCATCGGAGCTGCTTTGTTGGCTGCCGATTGTCTCTCCTCTTCTTCTGCATCCTGTTGCAAACGAAACCGTCCCACGTGCAGGGCTGATGGGGCTCTGCTTTATGCTTTATGAGGCTCCAGTTGGATTTATGGCTGGGACAGCAGGGGCCCCGTGGCATTTCCTTGGCTCAGCTTGGACAGGATAAAAAAACAGCTCAAGGCTCTTACGATGGAAATTCCAGTGCCGAACGAAACATATTCCCCTCCTCCCTTTGGAGTGGACAGAACAGATCGGTTAGGATTTTCCTGAAAATGCCTCACCTAGTAGTGACCAGAATGATCAGGAGACGGGCAGGATGGAGGCTGGAAGGGAACAGCTAAAGCTGAGACCAAATTTTCTCTCTCTCCCTTGTTGTCAGCAAAAGTAGTGAGGGGGTCCTGCTAGGTTTGCAGCTCCAGTCTTTCCACCCGTTGAGTAATTGACAATGTAAAGGCTAAGTAATCCTGAAATAGCCTCAGTGATTGAAGTCCAAGACACTGTGACTGACTTGGGTTTTCTTTTAAATCCAGCCACGCTTCTCCCTCCTGCCCTCCATATGCACTGGCGACCTTCTCTTGCTGGAAGATCAGAGGAGGTTCCACCATTGGGCTTCCTCACCATTAAGCATCCCTTCCAGCGCTCCACCCCCATCCCCACAGGTCAATCTGGGCAGCCCCAGAAACTTTGGGGAGGGGGCATTTGAAAACCAAATGTGTCCCTTGAGTGATGCAAAGCCCTTGAGGTTTGCAGAAGAGGTGCAGGTCACTTGTGGCCATTTTGAAGTGCCATGGCAATCCAGGCTAGGTTGGGGGCCGGCTGGCGTGGTGGGAAAAAGCTGTTCCACAGGGGCTGGATTTGGGGGAGGCCTGTGAGGCTCCTTGTGGAATGTTGGGCAGTTTACTTTCTCAGAAAGTGGTATTCTCCCTCTCCGGTGCATTCAAGTCATTGCTCCCATAAAGGAGAATATTTGTAGCTCAGGGTTGAAATGAGGGGTCCTTGGCGCTCTCTGAGCTTGGTGGTTTTCTTGCAGATGTAACTAGGTAACATCATCAGGGCTAGTGTTAATCATTGCTCATTCATTCATTCATTCATTCATTCATTCATTCATTCATTCATTCATTCTCAGTCCAATTGCTCTAGGCAATGCAGGGAATCCCAGAGTGGTTAGCTCTTGCTTCAAATGGCCCTCTTTCTCATTCCCCCCACTCATCAGCACTCCCATCTTGGCCCACTTACCCCGCAGAGCCCATCACTCCCTGTGCCTGCTTGGCTGCAGTAACTGGAACTCCTCTGGAGGCAGGGGTGAAATGCTCCCAGTTCGGACCGAATTGCCCGATCCGGTAGCAATGGCGGCGGGTGGTTCAGAGAATCGGTAGCAAACATCCCTGCCCCCCCATGCCCAGCTGAGCCACGCAATCATCAGAGGCTTTTTAAAAAAAAATTTAAAAGCATTTTTTCTGCAACCACTTCCACCAAAAAAATGTTTTTAAAAGTAAAAAAAAAGCCTCTGATGATCGTGCGGCTCAGCTGGGCTCGTCAGAGGCTTTTAAAAGCATTTTTTTGCCCGAAGAGGTTGTAGAAAAAATGGTTTTAAAAGTAAAAAAAAAGAAAAGTTGGCCACGCCCACCCAGTCACATTACCCACCACCACCACCACCAAGCCACGCCCACAGAACCGGTAGTAACAAATTTTACATTTCACCACTGTCTGGAGGGGTCTACGCAGAGGGGCCGTGAGGAGCCACTCGGAGACCCTTGGCTGATGGCTGGTGATTCCGCACAGGGCCTGCAGAGCATTCTGCCCCTGCAGCCACCCTTCTCTTTCCCAGACCTTGGGGTGGGGGGGAAGAGCTCTGCCCAGTTTGGCTGGGCAGCCAAAACCTGGCTGGGCTTTCTGTGAATTCGGTGCCTTGAGTTTCCCCATGGGAACTTTGTTGCCAACTCTCCTCGGATCCTGAGGGACGTTCCCAGACTGTGCAGACCTTGTCTCAGCAATTGACAGACAGACGAAGTGTGTCTGTGTTTTGCTTTTCATGGGAGGAAGCAAATATTTTGGCCAAAGCTACTTTCAAGTCATGGAAGCATAAAGTGGGAAGAGATCTCAGGGGGAATCTAGCCCAACCCTTTCTTCAGGGAAGGATCCTGCCAAAGTATTTCGGATAGAAGGTGATCTGACTGTTTGAAGACTTCCGGTGAGAGGGATCATAGCACCAAATGAGGCCATCTGGCCCACCCTCGATGACCCTTGCTCTTCTAAGGATTCCTCCTAATGGCTAACCTGCATCTACTTCCACTGATTTTGGCCCTGCCCTCCTCCACAGGACAACCCTTCTGACCAGGGCTCTCCAACCTCCAGGCTGCGTCCCACTACCAGCCGTGACCCGTTCGGAACCGGGCCACGCAAGTGGTGGGCAAGTACCCTTGCATGCAGGCACATGTGCTCACACACAAAGCTTCATTTGTGTGAGCAACAGACGCAGGTGCCTGCCACTTGCACAAATGGAGTTGTGTGTGCTTGCGTGCATGCCTGCCACTCACGCAAAGCCATCCCTTCTTCCCCCATGCCACTAGTCTGACAAACTGGAAAGATTGGGGGTCGCTGCTGTAGATCTTGAAGATGGGCATCCTCTCCTTCCCATTTTCTCTCTGTGGGGCAGGCTGTAGGTCTCCACATCCTTTAACAAACGATCCCTGGTGGCTCTGTGGTTGGAATGCAGTATTGCAGGCAAACTCTGCTCACAGCCTGGAATTCGATCCTGACCAACTCAAGATTGACTCAGCCCTTCAGCCTTCCGACGTCAGTAAAATGAGGATCCAGATTGTTGGGAGAAATATGCTGACTCTGTAAACCTCTTAGAGAGAGCTATTAAAGCACAATGGAGTAGTATATAAGTCTAAGTACTATTGCTAATGCTATAACTATCTTGCCCAGTCCTCCTTTGAACCCAGCCCACTTGGCTCTGGGGCTTTTCGGACTCTGTCCTGGAACCTGGCCAAGACACAGTGGAGGGGAGTAACTGTTGTTCTTCAGGCCCCCCAGCCCAGCATTTGCTGCTCAGGGTGCATCCTTTGGACAGAAGGGGCTGGGCTTCCAAGAGGGGGGACCCCCATTCCCTCCCTACTTCCCTCGCTTTGGGCAAAGAGTCCAGCAGGTCTCAGGGCTTCCTTCTACTTGGAGGGCCGCAAAGACCCTGCGGTCAGCGAATCCGGGGTGGGGGGTGGGGACGGGAACCAAGACAGAGCCAGCCTCTCTGCCAGGCTGTGGCTGAAACCATTCCAGGAAGCTGTGCCTGGTTCTCCTGGGGGAGCAATTTAGAGATAACCATGATGAACTTCCTATCAGTTTTATTTCCTTTCCCTGCAAATTGGCAAGAGATAAGACTGATTAAAACATCTGCTGGATTTTCAGTAATGGCTTTTCACACTTCTGGCAAATGCCAAGGCTGAATGGAAAGCAACGGAAGCAGGCAAGGGCGGGGAGGGGGAGCAAGCTGTGGACACCCTCCCTTCCTGTCGCACTGCTGCCTTTATTTTGGGCTGGAGGAAAATATGACACACACTTACATAATGCTAAATTTGTGTACGCACCAAAATCATGCAGTGTGAACTTGAATATACCCCTCAGAAAACCTGGTGATGCCATGCCATCTCCTTCCTCGTGGCAGCCCTGGCTACAATAGTATTGTAGAGCAACATCCGCAGCAGGTGTTCTCTGATGATCAAAAGGGGAGGGATCCTTCCTATAACACGCCTTCTTGATACCAGGTGTTGCATGCCTCCCCCACCACCCCAGGCCTGGGGAGACAGACACACACACAGCCCTCAGCCCCAGGCGGAAAAGGAGGATGGCCTCTGGGAAAAGCAGCCATGTTTATTTTTCAGCTGCTTCTTAGTGAGATATTTGTCTGGCCAATGCATTCAACTTTGGCTGCAAGGGAGGACCGGAGCAATTCCCAGGAAGAAGGAGGTGACTTCCAGCTGCTGAACATGGACCCAGAGCAGAAGAGAAAAGGAGAACTTGGGTGCGCATCCTGAGGCCCAGCTGGTTCTAGACCCCTCCAAGGGAGGGCTCGAAAAGCTAGAATGCTTGGCTGCTGCTCAGCTGCTTCTGAGCAAAGGAAGCCTCTGGCCCCGATCAGCCACTGCAGCTTCTGAGGTCTTCGTAAGGCCTCCTGAGCTACCAGGGCCAAGGGAATCTCCTCAGGTGCTGGCAGATGCCAAGAAGACAGGCACTGGTGAACTGAGATGGGGCCAACCCTGATCTGGCACTTCAGATCCCAGTCCTGTGGTTCTTGACACCTCTTGCACTGCAGGTTGAGCAGGACTCAATATTAAGTGAGCCCCGAGTCTCTCCCAACTCTAAACCCACCACAGTCTTTATCCCCAGAAACTGGGTTGCTCAGGATCTGGAGTTCTTGCTGAAATCACTGAAGGGCTTGCAATGAAGGAAGCAGTCCTGTCACTCAAACTGTGAGCTCCTTTTCCACAGATGGGACTATACTAGCTTGAGTAGCAAGCTTTGTGGAACTGGTTCCAATCTTCCCCTTTTGGTAGCGCGTGGAGTTGGCTGTGAAAGAGGTGTGTGCTGTGTTTTCATGGAAAGAGATGCTTTGTAGAACAACAGCTTTTACTATCATCTCTGGAGTCTCTTTTCAGCTGCCCCAGAGCCCCTGGCTTGTCACACCTAAACAGGAGCGCTTGCTCTCACCTCTGTGTGGGGACTTTCAAAGGCGCTTGGAATAACCCTGTTTC